CTCGCCGGCTGCGGGGCCGTGTCGGGGTCGTTCGGGTGCTGCTTGTCAGACAGACGTGTCTGTGTAGCCGGGGGGGCAAAGTCCCTCCGAGACACCCTGTGTACGGGGAGATTTGCAATTGCAGGGATTCGGGACTTCGCTTTGGGTAGCACTTGCTTGGAGGGGGTGGGTGGCCGTGTCAGGTCTGGCCTCACCGTATATTGTTTTCAGCTGCTGCCGTGTCCTGGTGGCTTTGCAGGTGTGCGGCGTTACTGCCCTGGAGCAGCTCCTCTGGGCTGGCAAATTTCAACCCCAGAGCCAAGCGCAGCCGTGCTGGGCTCAAAGCATCGCCTCTGAGGTGGTGGTGTTATTTGGATGTTGTTTTGTGCTGTTTCTAGTTGAACTGGAGTTGTTTGACATGGAGAAGAGGAGGCTCAGGCATAACCTTCTCACTCTCTACAACTATCTGAAAGGAGGCTGTGGCCAAGTGGGGGTTGGTCTCTTCCACCGGGTAACAAGCTGCAGGACAAGAGGACCTGGCCTCAAGCTGTGCTAGGGAGGTTCAGGTTGGACATCAGGAATACTTTCTTCACAGAAAGGGTGATTAGGTCTTGGAATGGACTGCCCAGGGAGGTGGTGGAGTCACTGTTCTTAGAGGTGTTTAAGGAAAGACTGGATGTGGCACTAGATCTAGTTGCCGTGGTGGTGTTCACTCATAGGTTGGACTCAATGATCTCAGAGGTCTTTTCCAACCTAATTGGTTCTGAAACAACTGCAGTGCCCTTGGGGTTTTGGGTTTGGAGTTTTTTCCTTTGTGTGTGTATGTGTGTGTGTGTGTGTTTGGCTCGTGTTTAAGAGCTCATTGACAGAATTAAAATTAGATTTTACTATCACAAGTGCCCACAAGCATCTGTAGGGAATTTCTTTACTGAAGAAGGTTTACATTTTAAATTACTCTTTTAAAAGTCTGGTTTGTGCACTTCCTATCCACAAAATAGAAAAAATCTATGTATCTAGCCACTCAAAATGGTATTGGAGCACAACCTGATTTTATGAGTACTCTTTATATCACACCAGGGGCAGAATACTTCTCTGTAAGGCTTTGTGCTTCTGATTCAGTTCTCGATATTTGCAGTGTTCTGAGAACCAGAAAGGGAAGTGATCTGACAAGGGGAATTTTACCAATGTGACTGAATGCCTCTGGTTAAATTCTTCTTATGAGAAACATGATACATGGCTGTCATGAGCTGTAGATCAGCTCGGGTTTTGTACCGCAGCAATGGGTAGGGGCTGTCATCCATGCTCTGCTCTCTCATCTCATTCTCCCACAATTGATGAATTTTGTGTAAAATCATAAAAATGGTTATCCAGAATATACCAGGCTGTGCTAGATAACACAGGCTATGAAAAGCTTAATATCCTGTTTCTTACCTGGCTTTCTATTTAATGAGTTAAATTCAGGGTCACAATCCTTGTCATCAGCGTTTCCAGAAAGTTTGGTGCAAGAAAGGTGTTCAAGCCTGCAAATAATTTCAAAACTGACTTAATTTCACCAGGATAAAAAGCATAAGAGAAGAAATACTCCTTCTGGTAGGAATCATTATTTCCCTGTAGAACAGGGAATGGTCAGTTTCTTGGTGAAATAAAACTTTGTCTCCTTGGAACTGGGGTAGTCTTGAGCAATGAATTCTGAGCCATTGGCTTAAGTGCAGTATTTACAGGCAACAGATTTTGTAATGCTTTTTTTGGAATTTTTTTTCCCCAACAGAAGTTTTAGACATGCTAAGGAATTTTACTATGACTGTTCTGCTCTTTAAATTTGTTCCTGAAAAAATCCTGATAATATTTTTTGAAAGTGTTTCTAGGAGAGTTTAAGATAAATCAGGAATTTGTCTGGTGTAGACATTCCACTCTCCTAATGTGTTTAGTTTGCTTCTTTTACTTATGGGAAGGGAAGTATATCTTTATTTTTTGAGTTATTTGATCCGGAAATATTCAGGAGATAATAAAAGGTAGCTTGGAATACTCTTTTAAGATGATTGACACAGTCCAAAACTTGAGGAAAGACAGAATCTGTAGATTGTCTTTGAGGATGTCTTTGAGGACCAAAGGTTTGGAAATGCTGTTTCGCTCTATGTAAACAAGATGACAAATTCCTAACTGTAGAAACACTTCTTTTTTTCTTCTAAGTTTGTAAGAAGCATTTTGAACAGCCTGAATCATTTCAAATACAGATATTTTCCTCTAAATTATTTCAGTTCGCTGTACTTTACTACTGAATCTGTTTCTAACTGATTGGAAATAAATCAGGTGAATGCTGATGAGCATGTGGGTAGCACTGCTGTGGAGTGGGTACCTTTGCTGCATTGCCTGTCCACTTTGAGTCACAGTTCAATCCAGAGGGATGGGAACTGAACCGTTCGGTGTGTTCCAGCATTTCTGTGCACTGGACAGATCCAGCAGAACGCTTTCAAGCTACATGGCCAGATTTCTTGTTGGCTTATAAACAAAAAAGTTTCGAGCTGTTGCAGCTTGGCTTACCTAAACCACTCGGTGATGCTATCCCTCTTGGAAGCTGGCATTTCTTTGTCTGCATGTTTATAAGTGCAGCATCTTCTTGGTCCGTGCGGGGGACACGAAGCAAGGAAATGCAGCTTTTGCAGTTCTGTGCCGGGTTTCCACGAGTTTGAGGCAGCAGTGGGTTTAAGAGGGCACTGCTTAAATTGGATTAGTGACATGACCTATATGAAACAAATTATTGGCTTTTGAAGGCTGTTTGTCTGCACTTCATGATTTCACTTGCAACCTAGCTACACAAACAAGGGCATCAGCACAATTGCATATGGAAGAAGTTGAAGAGAGTGTATTTAGGAACCTTATAAGTCAGCATTTCCTCCTGAATAAACTAGGATGTGAAACTGGTATTTCCTGATACCAGTTGATGTCCTGATGTAGCTTAGTCTATAATAATTCCTTGTAGTAAGTGAGAGCATAACTTCTGCTTAGATGATGGTTTTTAATTCTGTCTTAAGTTCTCTACAGTTCAAATTCTGGGGCTTAATATGAATTTGAACTGAGAAGGAAAGCCTATAGCTGAGGTGTGTTGTGTGTGTGAGAGGAGCTTTGTAACCATGTTCTGATCACTTCAATTTTTTTCCTATTTTCTGTTGAGAGCTCAGTGGTTTAAAAACTCCTTCTTTTGCAGAGGACTGTGTTTACCAAAAGGTATTATCAAATAAGTTTTTTTACCACAATGAAGTTTTTGTAATGTTGTATTTCATTTTGCCTTTAATCAAATTAGAGGAGTTTTACCAAGATGACAGTCTACATGTTTTACTACCCAAAATTGTACTTAAGACTTGATTATACTCTTCTGAGAGAGATGAATTAAGCTAGGTGGATATTTGTCAGACTCCTGATAAAATTTGGTTTCATTTGCAGTATTCTACAAGAGCACTCTGGTGTTCATCTTCAATTTTTTTGCAAAAGCTTACATAACTTGTTTTGTCTCCATTGAGATAAGGGAATTTTCAGATTTATACTTTCATTGATCGTGGATGCTCGAGAGATATGGTAGATTTTTAACACATGAAGAATACAGATCTTAAGATTTTGTTTAAAAATAGAGTAACAGCAGTGAAACCCATTCTTTGGTCTTCAAAGCCCCAGGCACATGGATCTTAGTAAATGACTGTCTCAAACAAATGTATAGTTTTGTTGGCTGATCCAAACAACTAATGTCATTCCAGAAGAGGGAGGCCTTTGGGCTTTAATCCATGAACCCGAGGTGATATCTTGATGGCATCTTTTATCTCAGAGAACTCTAGAATGCTTACCTCATGTACTTAGGTACCTTATGACCGTGAGAATGCAGAGTACTGGGTCTGCCAGGAACTTCAGGGCTCACTTGGAAATGTAGATTGACTTGATGTTCTGTTCAAATCCAAATTATAGTTTCAGCCTTCAGTAATCTTGCCAAATACTTGCAAAAAATAATAAATATTTATGAGCTGTTCACTAATGTGTACTGTTTACTATTCTGCTGTTTTTCAACATGCAATTCTGTCAGTGGACATCGGGGGCAGTAGGTCAGAAAAATATTTCAAGTTTGGAAAATTACTTCTTTTGTCTACCAGAGGTAGTGGCCAGCGTTTGGAAGAGTGGTTTCTGCTCTCTTGCCCACTCCCTTTTGAAAAGTTATCATAAGAATAGGCTGTTCCTGTTTGAGTTAAATTTTGACTTGATGTCTCTGTAATCAACCACCTGTAGCAGCTTCCTTGTTTTTAATGGATTGAGTTGGAGTTCTGTTGTCATTTCTCTGTAGTTTATCTGATATACTGCTTTTTCTTTCACAGAGGAGAAGAAAAAACTGGTTCGAGAATTTGACGATAAACAGCGCGAAGCCAATGAGACGGTAAGTGTAAGGCTGGGCTTCCAGCCTTCCTGACAGTGGAAATACTGTGGCCTTAAAAGGACACTACATCTAAATGTTAATTTTTTTGGGTTCTATTCTGGCAGGCAGATGTTTTATTTTTTTAATGTTTGATTAATTGCTCTGATAGGTGTGTCTGTGTTCATCAAGACTGTTGTATGTAACTGTATAGATACATAAATATGACAAATATTCTTATGTGCATTTTGAGGGGTTTTCGAGTGCTTGGTTTTGATAGCACCTTTGCTTTGTTGAACAAAGGAGAATGATGGAGGTGCAGTTAAAGTTGCTAGAGATTGTAGGGCAAGCATGTAGAGAATCTGCTGCTTGGGGTTTTTTCCCCCTAATGTTGGTTTTAGCCCATTTGATCTTTCTAAACTAGTCTGATAGTTAAGTATCAGGGACCTTGAATATTTGAAACCTCTATTGTATATGCTTGCTGGACAGCAGGTGATGTGGAACAGCACCAAAGCAGCCATGTGACTTGTCTTTTTAAGCCAGACATTATGGATTAAGCTTTCTTTTCATATTCAGGTACCATTTGTTAGGTTGCTTTTGAGTCACAGCTGAACATGATGCTTTATTCCCCTGACTTCTGGGGTTTATTGACGGGTATCTGTGTAGGTGATGTATGAGTCGTGGAGCTCATACTATGAGTGAGCTCATGTTTGCATACAGCTTTAAGCACTGTGAATTTGTTATAGCTGTCACTAGAAGTTGATGTGAAAATTCGTGCATCCAAAATCTTAGGGTTTGGAAATCCTAGCTCCAGTTGCCAAGCTTGGATGTTCCGAGTGTGAATTCAGTGGCATGGCTACCTGTGCAATGGATCCAGATGAGGAGAAGGCTGAGGTACTCAACAACTTGTTTACCCCAGTCTTCAATGGCAGCCTCATCTTCCCACACCTCTCGAGTGAGTGGACTGCAGGATGAGGATTGGGGGAGCACAGTCCTTCCTTTAGGGCATGACCAGGTTCATGACCACCTAAGAAACCTGAATGTGCATAAGTCTATGGGACCTGATGAGATGCATCCTAGAGTCCTGGGGGAATTGGGTGATGTGCTAAGCCACTCTGCATGCGTTTGAAAAAGTCATGGCAGTCAGGGGAAGTGCCAGGTGACTGGAAAAGGGGAAACATTGCACCCATCTTTAAAAAGTAGAAAGGAGGGCCCTGGGAACTGCTGACCTGTCATCCTCACCTCTGTGTCTGGGAAGGTCATGGAACAGATCTTCCTAGAAGTTATGCTAAAGCACATGGAGGACAGGGAGATGATTTGAAACAGCCAGTACAGCTTCACCAAGGGTAAGTCCTGCCTGACCAACCTACTGGCTACAGATGTCATTTATCTGGACTTCTGTAAAGCCTTTGACATGGTCCCCCACTACATCCTTCTCTCTAAATGGGAGAAAAATGGATTTGATGGGCAGACTGTAGGTGGATAAGGAATTGGTTGGATGGTCATATTCAGAGGGTAGTGGTCAACGGGTCAGAGTCCCAATGGACATTAGGGAGTAGTGGTGTCCCTCAGGGCTCCATATTGGGACCAGTCTTCATTAAAGACATAGACAGTGGGATCAAGTGCACCCTCAGCAGATTTGCAAACACCAAGATGAGTGGTGCACTTGACACACTTGAAGGACAGGATGCCATCCAGAGGGACCTGGACAAACTTGAGAAGTGGGCCTGTGGTAATCTCATGAGGTTTAATACGACCACGTGGAAGGTGCTGCCCCTGGGTCGGAACAACCCCTGGTATCAGTACAGGCTGGGAGATGAACAGATGGAGAGCAGCCCTGCCAAAAAGGACTTGAGAGTGCTGGGAGATGAGAGGCTGGACATGAGCTGACAATGTGCACTTGCAGCCCAGAAAGTGAGTTGTATCCTGGGCTGCATCAAAAGCAGCGTGGCCAGCAGGGTGAGGGAGGGGATTCTCCCCCTCCACTCTACCCTTGTGAGACCCCACCTGGAATTCTGCATCCAGATACGGGGTCCCCAGCACAGGAAGGACATCGACCTGTTGGAATGAGTCCAGAGGAGGGCCATGAAGGTGATTAGAGGGATGGAGCATCTCTGCTATGAGGAAGGACTGAGAGAATTGGGATTGTTCAACCTGGAGAAGAGGAGGCTCTGGGATGGCCTTATTGCAGCCTTTCAGTACCTAAAGGGGGCTACAAGAGAGCTGGAAAGAGACTTTTTACGAGAGCATGTAGTGATAGGACAAGGGGTAGTGACTTTAAACTGACGGAGAGTAGGTTTAGATTTGATATTAGGAAGACATTTTTTACTTGGAGGGTAATGAGGCACTGGAACAGGTTGCCCAGAGAAGTGGTGGATGCCCCATCCCTGTAAGTGTTCAAGGCCAGTTTGGATGGGGCTCTGAGCAACCTGGTCTAGTGGAAGGTGTCCCTGCCCATGGCATAGGGTTTGGAACTAAATGATCTTTAAGGTCCCTTCCAACGAAAACCATTCTGTGATTCTATCTGTGTTGCACAGATATGATACAAAGCTGATACCCATTGTATTATGGGCACTGAAGAAATGAGGCTGCACACACCATTATTTGGTTTTCAGGATTCTCTGCAGAGCCCTCTCTGCGTTCCCCCTTTATTAACCTCTTCAAGTAAACAGCACCTGGTGTTGCCATTCAGTTAACTAGAATTCCCAGGACTTTTTGTAAACTCAGTGTTTTGATTCACACACTTTTTCTCAGCTCCAAAGCCAAAATAGTCCCTTTTGGTTCTAATCAACCCAATCCAGGTGCATCTGGCTGAGCTTGAGCCCACATTGTATAAATGCTTAAACTATAAGAAAGTGAGAACTGCAAATTTTGAAGTTTAGAGTGATGTTTCAGGGAAAAAAATTCAAGCGCTTAAGCTTGGCAACTTTTTTTTTCTTGAAGCGTTGTGTGTCTGAAAATCCATGTGGGCCGAACAGCGTTGTTGTCCTCGTTACTAGATAGAGGTATAGGGTTTCAGGTTAATCCCCCTCACCCAGTCCAATAAAAACACATGAATCCCTTCATCCAATGGTGAGTTTTGAGTATACCTGCTGCTGAGAATAGATTTGGTGCTTTAAAAACTAAACATAGTTTCTTTTGTTAAAGCTGCGTGAAATGGAGGAAGAACTGAAGTATGCTCCCCTGCCTTTCCGCAACCAAATGATGAGCAAAATCCGAGCGTACAGAAGAGACCTGTCCATGTTCCAGAGGGAGATGAGAAGCACAGATTTGGGAGTGGGCCATGGAAGTCAAGGCGATATAAAATATGGAATCTTCTCCACAGAAAACGAACAAAGTGTGAGGATTAGATGTAAATTTTATTTAACTTTGCTGTGATTGTTTAAAAACAATATTGCAGATGTATTGTTTACAGTTTTTCTACTTTAAACCACTTCTGTGCTTTTATAACTCCCTGTATATCTCTCTGCATGTAACATGAATATCTCAGGCAGGAGAAAGAACACCTGGAACTCAGAAGAGAGTTTGGTGTTCTAAAACAAAGATAGGAGTATAATCAAAATGGAACTCCCTGAAAGCCATGCAGTTAGTAACTTGCACAACATTCTGTACTGAAATGCTTCATTTAATCATCCCCTACAGAAATGAAAACATAAAAGTGATGCTACTGACTGATAAAAAAGGTTAACTTAGCTAGTTTTAGTCTCCAGAACTATCAAATTGTGAACCATGCATTGTATAGGTTCTTTGGTAAAATTCTCTTTTAAGCAATCTCAGTGTAAGTAATTTTAAGAAAATATAAGAACTCTTGACCCTCTTAGCGCTTTGTTCACTGTGGTTTTGCTGCTACAGTGCAAGAAATATACCAATTTCTTCGTTTACCAGATATGCATAGAGATATCTGAGCTAGCGAGACTGAATCTCCTCATTATTTTCAAAGTGCTGTGATCTGTACAGAAAGTTCATGGAGGTGGGCTCTTTGTTTGTCTGCCCTAGATAAGGAAGGTTTGAGGGAGGCTTTTTCCTTGATATTTCCTTCTGTGGTAGCTTGGTAAATTTTTGCATTTGATTCCTCTTGACTGAATCCTCTAAAACTTGAGAGCAGGGTGGTAGCTTTCTGAAGCTTAAGAAAGTACTTTATTTTGAGCTACCTTTTGATCCCAAGGTCAGCAAATATTCCTTATCCTCTAGCCCAGGCTACTGGCACGAAAAGATCTTTGTTACTTAGCAGTCCATCTGTTAGTGCTGTTTGTTTCTAATCCTTTTGACTGTAAACTCTTACTGATCTCCCTGGCAACCAACTGTGAATTCACAAATAAGGCTGACTTTAAGATATGAATGGAAGGACAAGGTAGCATCTGGAAAGAAAGATACTATTTTCATGTAAATGTTCTTTGATGGAAAAGTAAATTGTTGCAAAGGCAGTTTTTTGTAACTGTTTTAACTCTTTAGAAGCATATACTTTTTTGAGATTTAACCAGATTTGGCCATAATCTTACCATGTAGACAAGGCTGTGTCAAAATTAACTGGGCCACATCATTTAACATAAGAAGCATGTACAGCTAATACAAATGAACGGCCTATGGAGTCACATCCTAACTTTTTAATATGTCAGAAGCCTAATACTTCTGTCTTTGTGCTTAATAGTTAATCTTACATTATTTTTCAGACTAATCTGCAGTCACAGAGGGTGCTGCTTCTCCAGGGAACAGACAGTCTGAACCGAGCCAGTCAGAGCATTGAGCGCTCGCACCGGATTGCTGCTGAAACAGATCAGATCGGCACCGATATAATCGAAGAACTTGGGGAGCAGCGGGAGCAGCTGGAACGCACCAAGAGCAGAGTAAGCAGGGAAACTGTTGGCATTGCTTTGAAACAACCTGATGGTGGTTTTGGGGGAACTGTATGGCAATAATTACTCTGAGACACTCCCCTAGACATAGTAATCCAATGGGATGTTTCTACAAACCAAATCCAGACTGCCACATTTCTGTGCTGTCCTCATTAAAAGGAAAATAATTACTGTAGAAGGGCCCAAAGCACGGTGGTCAAATGTCTGCTGCTGTGCCTGTACAAGATTAGATATCAGACCTGTGAACTAAAAAAAAATAGCATTACTGAAAATATTACAGATTAAAAAATTGCTGAGGAGTTGCCCACCACTAGATTACTAGTAAAAGTTTAGATCTAGGAAGCAAATTTAGCAAGTTTTTGTAATTAAATTAAATTTAGTAGAAGTATAATTACTTAATTACTATCCTTCCAATATTTGTAGGGAGGGAGAAAGTGGTGTCAGACAGGATGCCTGTTCTCATCCTTGGTTCAAGACTCTGTTTCCACTATGAAAGCCTCAAAAACTAGTTCACTTGTTTTGTTTACACATATATGCAAAACTGAGAATTTGATTTTTGAAGTAACAAGCTGATGGGAATTTCTGTGTGTACAAGGGATCCTGACTGTAAAGCTTTTAGGTGAGTGACTTGTAGGGGGATGGCTGAGTTTGGCAAGTAAGCACACTAAGCCAAAACAAAAAGCATACCCCTTTTCTTAGAAGTTCTCTCTACTCATTTCAACAAAGCCTGTAGCTTTTTCATCTGTCATTTCAGTCAGAATTTGATTTGTCCTGTTCCCAGATTTGGGTTGGAGAGCAGGAAAGGAAATTTATCCTAAGATTTGTAGGTGTAGTTTTTGTCCTTTTTCTAATAAAAAATATTACTGTCCTTCAGGCGTCTCAGTCTATCAACAGATTGCTCACAGAAGCATGGAATTGTTTAGGTTGGAAAAGATCAAGTCCAGCCATTAACCCAGCACTGCTGTGTTCATCACTAAACTCTGTCTGTGACTTGTATTGTGACCCTTTTAGGCAAAGTGTTGCTGAATTGTGTGAACCACACGTTTCAGCTGGAAGCAGACTTTCTTCTTGTTTGTTCTTTCATAGTGAAGACTGGAAATTACTAAGCTCTGAATGGGCTTGGTAGCTTTCTTCCCAGCTTCATCCAGTCCGTCTCAGGGCAAAGTAACATACGTACAGGGTTAGTTTTCCAGTTGAGGGCAATAGTTTAAACCACAGAGGAATTGTGCAGGCAGGTGTCTGTGATGTAAGACCTAGCTTACCCTTCACTTCCTTAGGTTTGGAAGTGGAATAGCAAAAATCTTACCTGGAGACCACACATCACGGATCCTGCCTCTGTCTGAGGCAACACCTTTTTTAGTTGGCTATAACCTCACCGAATTACATGCTTCTTAATAGCTGACTGGATACAGTTAATTTCTGAGCATTACAAAGTTGAAATGGATCGTCTATTAACAGCTAGAGCTGCTACCCACTGGGTCACTTAGACCTATCAATGCAACACAGTTCTTTCTTTGCTAGAAATTGAAAGGCATTTCAAAGCAGTTTGATATGCGCTGGGAGGGAACATGTCAGTATAATTTTCTTATATTTCAACTAGAATAATGAAATGAAATTTAATGAAAGGAGCTAATTTCTGATATTTCTAGATTAACTAAAGGGGCAGAAAGAGGTCTTAAGTTGCATATCTTTGTATGTATCTCACGAAAAGTATACACAGAAGTCTTACTTCCTCCTTAGAAAAGAGGCAATGATTCCAGATGGTATTGTGTGTAGAAAGTAATGTTGTCTCGGAATTTTGGGAGTATATGGTTATCCTTGGTCCCATTACTAATTGCAACATTTCAACACCAACTGCTTTCAGGTGCATTTTTATAGAGCTGGTGTGTGTTTGTTCAGCTGATTTCTGTCCTGTTCAAGTAACTTCTGTCTCTTCTTAGTTGGTGAATACAAGTGAGAACTTGAGCAAGAGTCGCAAGATTCTACGTTCAATGTCCCGGAGGTGAGTAACATGGCTGACAGCCGCATGGAGCATTATTGCCTGCTGGTTTTAGAGGGAAAAAAGTAAGTGTAAGTGTCAGCTGGAACCACAGGGAGGGTTTAGGGAACGTGTAAATATGTGTGCCCACATGCAGATGCTAATTTGTGTGTTTTCCTCCCTGGTAGTTACTTACAGGCTCTTGAACACTACTGAATTATGCTGCTCAGTCAGGATAATGTGAAATCTTTAACCATCCAAACTGTGGTGAGGACACAAGCAAGTTACAGTGAATTGCTAATGGTGACTTTAGGTGCAACTCCTCCTTATTCAGGTCGGAAAAATCGTGCCATAAATCACTGCAACATTAAGCGAGTTAGATGTCCGATGACACAGACAAATCTGTTTAGGCCACAGCACTGCCCTAGAGTAGCTAGGCTATCCTGTGAGACACTCTGAGTCTCATCATATACTATTTTGATGACTAAAACCTTGGATGCTTAAGTGGATTTGCAGTTTCTTAACTATATTGTTTAGTTGGCCTTACAAACCAGTTCATGGATTGTATTTCCAGTAGGTACTTATCCCCTAACAAGCTTTCCTTTACAGCCATTGCTGAAGGAAGTTACGATAACTGTATAATTTTCAATAGTAAAAGTACATTATTATTTTGATGTTTTAGTTTTATTTCAACCACATAGTTCCAGGGAAAAGCACCACAATGAGAGTTTTAGCATTTAAGTGACTTTATGTGACATTAAAGGATTTAGCATTTAAGTGACATTAAAGACTTCAATTGTTGTTTTCCTCTTTGCTTAATTGAATGAGTAGGCACAGATAGAGCAGTTATCTATCTTTTGTGGGGCAGGGGAAGAGGGACAGAACTCCTACTGTTGAAATAGAAGATTTAAACAATTTCCAGGAAAACAGGAGTAGTAAATTGCTCTTTGTCCCCTTCTGCTTGTTAAGAGCTATTTGAAAAGCACTGTGGGGTCTAGCTGAAACAGGGAGTATACTTACAGAAGGGAAGATGGTGATCTAGATCTAGAATCTACTTTCATAAACAAAGGGGGGGGAAGCTATCTTGGATTTTTACTGATTTTTTAAAATTATTTTTTAATTCTAGAGTAACCACTAATAAGTTGTTGCTGTCAATTATCATCATCCTGGAACTGGCCATCCTAGGAGGTGTGGTCTACTACAGATTCTTCCGCAGCAGATGAATCTTCATGATGGAGATGAACTTTTCCACTGTTGAGGAACAGGATGGGCTGTCTGTTCCCTTTGATTGTCTGAGGATTGAACTGAGTGGTGAGACAGCACATTCACCAGAAACTGTACTGACACTAAAAAGACAGAGAATGGGAGTAAAAGGAAAATGCAGAGACAGACTTGAACTACCGGTAAGATTAATAAGAAGGTAATAAATATTTTATTGTCTCATTTTGTATATACTTAACTAAATGAATAAATTTTGGTATGTAATAAAGTAGCCACCAATCAATGGAAAAGCTAGTTTATTTAAAAATTGAGAAGTTAACAGTATTTGCCAAGTGTTGACAATCTATCCACTGAAGTGCCTCAGCTGAGCTCTGCAATGTCCAATATACCCACTGCTTTGGGTTCTTAAATCCTCACTTGCTCTTCACTGTCAGATTCATCTGGAGAACTGGGTGTTGGGAGTCCATCAAAAGCGGTGTGTGCTCCTTCTCTTGTCTGCCCAAAGCACGATGCTATCACATCAACTGCAAGACTAGCAGTTGCATTCACTGCTTCTTGAGAAGCTCCAAGCAATGGATTGACTTCAACCATGTCTACAGCTGAAAGCATTCCTGTGAAAGTGATTCACAGTTTTGTTACTCTGACAGAGGGTACAACATCCTGCAAGGTCTCTTTAGTAGCCTTTTATTCATTGCAGCAAGTCTGGTATTTGGGCTTGTGACAAGTAAGACTGGCTCTCAAGTGAGGGATGAGGTTATTGTTCTCAGATGCCAGTTTGTGTTTTAAACGTGGTTCTTTCTTACATCACCACTACCTCATCCATTCATGCTTTTAGCATTCAGAAAAACTAAGTTTGATGTTCCATACACATTTATGAGAGGAATGTTTTTTAATTTTGTTTTCTCCCAGTCCAAAAATGAGGGGATATAAAAAGAGATCTCACCTAGTATTCTTTTGCCATCCTATTCATGATTCTATTGACTCTAGTGTCTGGTTGTGATTTTTATTTCCTTCTTTCACTACAAATAACATTGTTTAAACACATTAAATAAAATCTCCATGGCATAAGATGAAAAGTCCTCATATATCGAGTCAACTGCAGTATATTTTGTGAAAGCTTGATTTGTTAGCCTTGAATCCTAGAATGGAACTTCAGACTGTTTAAAATTGTTTGCACCCATTTTTTTATTCTCGATCCCCCTTTTTACATCTTACCTCATGTCTTTAGGATTAGGGGACAGTATTACACATTTCTGACATTAGTTGTTAATATATTGTGTATTTTATTTCCTTTTCGTAAGTTGAAGTTGTTGATGGTTAAGCTGCTTCCAACACCAAGGGTATTGCCCAACCATAGGACTACTTTTGCCCTTACTAAAGGCTGAATTGACTTTACAGGCACCTTTGCTTTGACTACATTTATCTTACGTAGTTATGCAGGAAAAACAACCAATATGAGCTCTATGTATCTTGTCCTGTCCTTGCTTAGCCCCATACTGCTGGTCAGCTCCTACCTGTGTTGTGTATTTCCTCTGTGATGTACATGCCTTCTCTGTAAGTTAATCCACCTAGAACAGGAGTCCCCGTTGCTGGAGCCAGTGAGGGATCAAAAGCATCAATGTCAAAACTCAGGTGAATTGGTCTCTGTCTCCTGAGACAGAATAAAACAAGAAAAGCAATCTCAGAACCTTAACTTTTTCTGCATGCATTTCCTACTGTCCAGGCTGATCAGCACAGTAGCTAGTGAGCTCAGTGATGCTAAAAGCTTCCCCTATGCCCTATACCATGTCTCATATACATTTAGAAGGATTCTTTTTTTTAAATATCTTTGGACTCTGAAACATCTATTAGCTCAGTACACATGGGGAAAACAGAAATTCATCTTTCTAGTTTGACTGAGCATCTGCTCAGGTGTGATGTGGTTGAAGATAAGTACTTTAGTTCTAACCACTTTTTCTGATATTTGTCTCCTTAGTTGGAAAAATGTAGAGAAATGTATGATACAATCCAGCCTTTTCTCCTTTTGTACAGAAAGCCAGGGTGAAAGGCTGAACCACTGATGTGCATGGCATCTAGGATGGAGGAAGCACCAAGCTTGAGGATTTCACTAACAGCTCAGCAAGATGAGCATTTTTCAGGTCCATAGTTGAAGACTGCCTCCAAACTATACCATGTAGCCTAGTTGATGAAGAAATAAAGGATAATTTTTAACCTAAAATGTTAGTTACTTACTATATCAAGTCTGCCAACTGATGACAGCTTAATAAATTGGACACTGCTTGTCATGAGTTATTTAAGTGATAGACTGTACTTCCAACTTACTGCAGATGCTCAGTAGGGAGAAGCATCTGGATTAGCATCTTTTTTACTTGGCACAGCTGCAGCTAGGAAAGGTGAGCACACCTTTAGAAAACAACAGCATGCAGCACAGGTCCTAACCTGTGGTGAGAGGTTACCCTAACTCTGACCCTCTCCCTGTTTCTAGACTATCATGATACGTTCCCTGACTGGATTCCCCAAACTTGAACAAAGTTAGCAAAGACAGCAGTAGTGAACTGCAGTAAGGGAGTGGTTACAGTGAACTTTACCAGCTGCACTGAAAGTAGCAGCCACCACCAGGACAGCATGGGTGAGCACAGTCTAAGGAGGACACCTTTAAATGCTTCCACCTCACGCGCTAACAGCTGAATTTGAGTTACTGTCAAGTTGCTATACTATTTTTTAAAGTGTAATGGGTATCCTGGACTCTGAGTTGATTCAAACATCAAACTGCAGAAAAATGCAGAATTCCTTAAAGAACAGAACCAAAACATATAAAACAGAGCCCCAACTGTACTCACTAATGTAACCTGTCTCATAGCTTTTTGCCAAACACTGCAAAATGGTTGCAGTTCAAGATGTGGAAGTCGAGGACTAAAGACTTTGCAATTTACTGGACATTGTCACAGTTCTGTACAGCTGCCTGACATCAAGTGACCTTCACTTAAATAACTTTCAGGAAAGTAGATATTCAACGAGAGTAGTTTAAATCGGATAATAGTTTGTTACCTGCCCATCAGTTGTTCAAATGTTCTTTCCATAACTTTCCGAATTCCAAGGCGATCAATATCCCTCATGGAAAAATACTGGATGTCATACTTCTTCAAAATATAGCTGTTAAAATAATTTTTTAAAAACAATTGTTACCAGTCTAAGCTTAAATCTAGCAATGCTTGTGAACATGATTTCAAGCTCATGATTTCAGCCTTTACAAAAAACTCTTTACTCTAAACCAACTTACTATTCAGCAGGATCCACATCCCTCAAACCAATGTACACAATATCAGATGCTGAAAGACAGGGCTTTATCCAGGAAAAGCCAGGAAGTTGTGGTACCTGAAAGCAATGGTTTGGTATTACGTTAGTTTAATGACATATACAACAAAACTGTATTTAATGCTTCCCTCAGAACTTGGTATTTATTTATAACATCCTTTCTCTGTCTAAACAGAGAAACTTGAGAGTGGCATCCTGATGTAATCAGTCCTTACTTTCAGCTCAGGTAAAGCGGTACAACTTTACCTGAGATGAATGTTAATGGATGAAGTTTTTAACTCTTCTACAGGAGGAGGAATAAAAAGCCCAAATCCACAAGCAGTAAGTAATTATCATCAGTGAGTGTAAGGGGGAATGATAAGAAACTAGATACCCAGATGCAGATCACTTACCCAGTATATCAGGCTTAAATGGGAAAATGAAAACCAAGGCACCTGCATGTTTTTAGGAGAACCACCAAAGTCATGGAAACTTTGTTCCAAAACCAGTATTAAGAATGGACAAATTCAAAGTAAGAAGTTAAAACCAAAAAAGATTAAAAAAAAGAGCAGGACAAGATGTTGGGCTTCCACAGTGGGCTACATCATACTGGTTTTAATACAGAACTGAAGAGAGCAGATCTAGGACAGCAACTGAAAGATTACGAGATCACAATTTTTCAGCTTTGGTAATTAAGTAGTCGTGTTATGCAATATAGAAATCGTTCAGTTAGTAATATCTACTAAGTTTAGGAGTGCTTTAAATTAATTCATGTTTCTCTTCTTCTCCCAGCTCTGAAAATGGCTACAGCCAACACAGCTGTCACACAGCAAGGCGGTTTTGTTTCCCTCTTATACTTCTCAATTACTAATTTTATTCTAGTTACAATATTGGATTTGTTTTTGAAGGCTAACTCACACATAGCTATATTTAGTTACATTGGGATTAAACTGGCACAGATTATGAAAGTATTTGTTACTCTGGGGCAATGAATTCAGAAGAGGGATAAATGGAGACCGCTACGAAAAATAATTCAGGTTTCCAAAATGAACAACCACAAAACCCATCACCACACCATAAACTGAGCATAGTATTGATAATATTGTCAGATACTCTCTAGTGTCAATGATTCAGCAGATTTAATGCTGCCAATTTTAAGTACACCTCTTTGACTGTACATAAATAAAACTGCCTTAACTGCCTTTGGCAGGCTGTGTTTTTGCTTTGTTGCAGTAGAAAAAGAGTTGCTGGTAGTAAAATCAAAGGTGCAGGCATTTTCATGGTAAGGTATTAATAGCAGTTTGTGAGTGTGAATGGTTCCAGGAGCCCTGAAGCAGTCAGGAAAGGAGGACAGTCAATTTTTTTGTCCCATTATCAACTTAGCTGCTCTACGACATGAAAGTGAGAGAGTGAGCCACATGCACTTGTGCACACATGGTTTGCTCCAGAAAGTCAAGTCAAGTATTAGCCAGGCAAACTATTGGGCAGACTATCAGCAAATGATTGACCAGACAAGCTGAGGCACATTCTGCTACTGCTAAACAGTTGTTTAAAAAATTATATTGTTGTGGAAGCCTTGTGGTACCAGCAGGATATATGTTGGTTTCCCTTCCTCTAAAGAGGGTAAGAAAACCCCCTGAGTGCACACACGTTTGTGTAACTACACACCCAGGTCAAGGAGCTTGTGTCAGATGCTTCTGCACAGCATCCTGACTGCTAGAATTCAGGTGGACTTGTGATGAGATATCAGAACCAGCACCATGCCTGAGTAGCTTGTCTCTAAGCATAGCCCAATCTTACTCTTTGTTTACTGCTGCCACTGGCAAGAGTCCTGCTCCCCCACTGACCCCAGAAAGCTCATAGTAATCTTTTAGCATGTTGGGGGGCAAGGGGAAATATAAAAAAAAATTACTGCTTTTCTGTGTTGCTCAAGAACTGGAGCTCAGCGCACCAGAGATCAGTAATGGATACAGAGGAAGCCAATTTCTCCTCCTTCTTCAGCTATCAGAGAACAGTTTTGTTCTGTTCTCACCAAACTGTTCACCTTAGGTGAGCTCTAAAATTCACAAAATTTTCTCTTGCTCTTCCTTTGTCTCCTGCAAAAGTGGGTATAATTGCCAAAAAGAAAAAAAATCACCCCCTTTAAACTTATGGGCAAGAAACTAGAAATACAGTAACCTTTTATATTAACCTTGTGTTCTGGGGGTATTCCAAAAAGCCCCATTAATTTTGCATTACTTTGGGAATTCCAAATTGTATAGACCACACAAGAATTACTAGAAAGAGGAAAGTATGTAAAAACACCAAGTGACTTGTGGATGGAAATCATTCAAAAGAATTTGCAGGAGAAGAGCAGAAGAGCTTTACCATACAACTGCAGCATTGCCATGCTGAACAGGTACTAACACAGCAGTATCTTTAGTAGCCATAAAGATTTTAAACATGCTTGATCTTGTTTGGAAGAGGCATACTTTCAGCAACACAGCACCCCCAAAATTTATCAGAGAGAAAAGAGAAATCTAACAGTAATAACTAGCAATTCAGAATGCCAGAATAAATTGGCCAGGTTTTCTGCAGCTCCAGCATCCATTCTCAATATACAGTTGCTGATCCTGCTCCCACTCTCCAGCCTAAGCTTCAGCAGAAGCAGATTGTTGTATTTAAGTCCTACTGCAAAGGCCTCGGCTGCCACTGCCACGTCTTCAGTAGATGCTGTAGGTTCCTGAACAGGGCAATACAGCCAAGCCAGAAAGGGTTCACAGGCCACAGGTCAACCTACTGTTAAGCATCTTGACAGCAGCAAAAGCAGGCCAGGCACATTCCATGTGTCCCAGTAAACAGCTCTTTTTGATAAATTTGACCTCTTTCCAAGACTATCTCTTTAAAAGCACACTGTAAGCAGGTACAGCTGTTCTGATTTGTAATATTTATTTGCCAGTGGAGACAACACCAGGGACTAGATCATGCAGGAGCCGCCCTTGTCAGGCCCCAAGGTTGTCAAAACATGGAGGAGCCAAACTAAGCAAAAGCAGTGTGCCAGATATACAGGAACCAGCTGTCACTGGAGGTGAGCTCAGCACAGCTCTCACAGGCTGGCCTGGGGGGGAGGTTCCTGCTCATTTGGTAGCAGTGCTGCCGTTGCCCAGCCTGGGCGACAACCCCACTCGTTCTGCAGAAGCAATGCCACAGTCAGCTGCTGCATACAGCTGGTGTGAACTCTGGCTCACTGTACAGCCCACAAGGGGGCCAACATACAGGAAAGCTTTTTCTCATTCTTGTTTTTAAGTGTGCGTATCTGTATTTACATGCGTGTATGTGTGCATGCATGTGCACATGTACACACACAACAATACATGGGTTTTGTTGTGCTCAGATAGAAAAGGTCTGCATTTGCAGCAGGTAAGAAAGTACCTCACACCAGAAATGGTAAAATGTTATGAGGATGCCATACAGGCTAACTGTACAACCAGGACACTTACTTTATCTTGAAGCTCTCTCAAGAGAAATGAGAGAGGTTGTCCATGGAGGCTTCCAGACTGAGTTGTGAGAGGCGTGTTGATATCAGCATGTGCATCCACCCAGATCACTCCAAGGTGTGGGCACTGCTGTGCATGGCCACTGACGGAACCAAGTGCCAAGCTGGAAGTACAGTAGCAAAGTCTTTAGTCACCATTTCTCCTTCAGAACAACTGCAAGGACAATGGGAAGTCTCTGCAACTTCAGTCAGCCATATTGTCATGTTTGCATACATCAGACAGGTGTGACAATTAAGGGTGCATCCCATACAAACTGCATGGCATGCCACTATCGTGATTCCAGGAGACTCCCAAGTAACTCTACGGGACTATACTCTTACCTCTCTCTGCTAAGAGAGAGCTCTTAGCTCTCTCTGCTGTCAGCCTTCCCACACTCTTAATTTTCACC